GCGAAAACAGTTGGAAAAGTCCGCCTTTCAGGGGTCTATGCTATGTGGATGAAGGCGCTTGTTGTCCAAAAGGGCATCAAAGTAGTGTTATTTACAGGGTACTCGGCTGAAAGCGTAGCATCAAAAGCTCAGGAAAACTGTTTCAATTACTGGATGTACACGCCGGCAGTTGATCGGTAAGAGTTCGTGTTCGCAGGCTTGTTGTCATCAGCAAGTATATCAGTGTCATGGTCATCATTAGTTGCATCAGCAGGTTCAGGACTGCTCTGGACAAAACTTTCAGATGAATCTCCAGGAATGAAGGTTTCGGCTTGAGAGCTGAGAATACTTATTTGGTGATATTCGTGCATATGTGATTTCACGAGTATGTGTGTTGCAGAAGCAGGCAGACACATGTGTTGCGAAAAAAAGGGGTGCTGTTGTGACTTGGCTGCGTGTCGTGTCTTCGCACACACACACACACACACACGCACGCACATACACACACACACATGTTTGCGGCATGAGCAAATAGGCCATGTTCAGTGCTCGTGCACATACACATGTGGTTAGCAGATGCAAGGAATCTGTGGTCACCCTTCTGGTTGCCTTCAGACACGTGTGTTGCGGAAAAGGGTGTTGTTGTGATTGTGGTGTGTGGTCGTTTTATCCACAAGTGTGTGGCAGAAGCAGAGATCCCGTGACCCCGTGGTCAGTGATGGCGCACACACACGTGTGTTTCAGCAGCACAGAATTTCGGCTGGTGGTGTTTGTGAGTGGTGTCTGGTGACGCAGACGTGTAATGGTGGTGTTGCTAGGACTGGGGCACATGTCATCTCACACACACATGTGTGGCCTACGCAGTACTATGCCGAGAATCCGTTAGCAGACACCTGATGTTAAGTTTTGTTCAAGAAAGTTGAGTTGCTGCTGTGAGAGCGCACATGTATGTTGAAGAAAGCAGGGGAACCTGGCTCAGCTCGGCGTTTGTGTAGCAGACACTTGATGTTAAGTTTTATAGTTGAGTTGCTGCTGTTGCAAAATACACAAACCCTTTGGTGTTGCAGAATCTCTCTGTTAAACGTTTGTGGAAAAGTTGAGATGTTGTCGTGAGAACACACACGTGTGTTGCAGCAAGTAAGGAGCCCTGATGTTAAGTTTGTTGGCAAAGTTGAGTTGCTGTTGTGAGAGCACAGACATGTGTGTTGCAGAAAGCAGGGAACCCTGGCTCAGCTCGGGATTTGTAAAGCAGACACTTGGTGCTACTTTTGTAAAGAAAGTTGAGTTGCTGCTGTGGGAACACACATGTGTGTTGCAGAAAGCGGGGAACCCTTGCTCAGTTCGTGTTTGTGTAGCAGGCGCTCGATGTTAATTTTGTTCAAGAAAGTTGAGTTGCTGCTGTGAGAACGCACGTGTGTGTTGCAGAAAGCAGGGGACCCTGGCTCAGCTCGGGAGTTGTGTTGCAGAAACTTGATGTTAATTTTTTTTGTGAACAAGTTGAGTTGCTGCTGTAAGAACACACATGTGTGTTGCAGAAAGCAGGGAACCCTGGCTCATCTCGGGGTTTGTGTAGCAGTCATTTGATGTCAAGTCTTTTTTTGAACAAATTTGAATTGCTGCTGTGAGAGAAAACATGTGCGTTGGCACAGTTCGGGATTTGTGTAGCAGACACTTGATGTTAGTTTTGTTCAGGAAAGTTGAGCTGCTGCTGTGAAAACACACATATGTGTTGCAGAAAGCAGGGAACTTTGGCTCAGCCCGGGATTTGTCTCGCAGACAGTTGATGTTAAGTTTTGTTCAAGAAAGTTGAGTTGCTGCTGTGAGAACGCACATGTGTGTTGCAGAAAGCAGGGGACCTTGGCTCAGCTCGGGAGTTGTGTTGCAGAAACTTGATGTTAATTTTTTTGTAAACAAGTTGAGTTGCTGCTGTAAGAACACACATGTGTGTTGCAGAAAGCAGGGAACCCTGGCTCAGTTCGGGATTTGTGTAGCAGGCACTTGATGTTGAGTAGAAAGCTGAGTTGTTGCTGCTTGAAAAATACACAAATCCTTTTGTGTAGCAGAATCTTGCTGTTAAGCGTTTGTGAAAAAGTTGAGTTGCTGCCGTGAGAACACACGTGTGTGTTGCAGAAAGTAAGGAGCCCTGATGTTAAGTTTGTTGGCAAAGTTGAGTTGCTGTTGTGCGAGTGCGAGCACAGACATGTGTGTTGCAGAAAGCAGGGAACCCTGGCTCAGCTCAGGATCTGTGAAGCAGACCCTTGGTGCTATTTTTGTTCAAGAAAGTTGAGTTGCTGCTGTGGGAACACACATGTGTGTTGCAGAAAGCAGGGAACCCTTGCACAGTTCGTGTTTGTGTAGCAGGCGCTCGATATTAATTTTGTTCAAGAAAGTTGAGTCACTGCTGTGAGAACACACATGTGTGTTGCAGAAAGCAGGGAACGTTGGCTCAGTTCGGGAGTTGTGTAGCAGACACTTGATGTTAAGTTTTGTTCAAGAAAGTTGAGTTGCTGCTGTGAGAACATGTGTGTTGCAGAAAGCAGGGAACCCTGGCTCAGCTCGGGAGTTGCGTAGTAGGCGATTGGTGATAAGGTTCATAGTTGAGTTGCTGCTGTGGCAAATTACACCAACCCGTTTGTGTAGCAGAATCTTGATGTTCATTTTCTGTGAATAAGTTGAGTTGGTGCCGTGACAACACACAGGGTACCTCGGGAGTTGTGTAGAAGAAATTTGACGTTAAGTTTGCTTGAACCAGTTGAGTTGCTGCTGTAAGAAAACGCATGTGTGTAGCAGAAAGCAGAAAACCCTGGCTCAGTTCGAGATTTGTGGAGAAATTTGAAGTCAAAGTTTTGTAGAACAAATTGATTTGCTGCTGTGAGAGCACACATGTGTGTTGCAGAAAGCAGGGAACCCTGGCTCAGTTCGGGATTTGTGCAGCAGAATCTTGATGATCATTTTTTGTGAACAAGTTGAGCTGCTGCCGTGAGAACACACATGTGTGTTGCAGCGAGCAGGGAGCCCTGGCGCAGCTCGGGTGGTGTTGCTGCTGTGAGAACACACATGTGTGTTGCAGAAAGCAGGGAACCCTGGCTCAGATCGGGATTTGTGTAGCAGACGCTTGATGTTAAGCTTTGTTCAAGAAAGTTGAGTTGCTGCTGTGAGAACACACATGTTTGTTGCAGAAAGCAAGGAACCTTGTCTCACCTCGGGAGTTGTGTAGCAGAAATTTGACGTTAAGTTTGCTTGAACAGGTTGAGTTGCTGCTGTAAAAACACACATGTGTGTTGCAAAAAGTAGAGAACCCTGGCTCAGTTCGAGATTTGTGGAGAAATTTGATGTTAAGTTTTCAAAACAAGTGGATTTGCTGCTGTGAGAACACACATGTGTGTTGCAGCAGGCATTTTTGGTGTTAAGTCTTTAAGAACAAGTTGGACTGCTGCTGTGAGAACACACATGTGTGTTGCAGAAAGCAGGGAACCCTGACTCAGTTCGGGATCTGTGTAGCAGACATTTGATGTTAAGTTTTTTTGGTTGGGGTGCTGCCGTTGCAAAGTACACACGCTTTTGTGTATGAGAATCATTATGTTAAATCTTTGTGAAAAAGTGGAGTTGCTGCCGTGAAACACACATGTGTTTTTGCTTAGGATTTTGGTATCTGGAGGGGCGGTGGGAGTACAGTATGCCAAGTATGATCTGGTATCTTATTTTCCTTTCCTCAGCTGAAAGCTTTGGTATTGTCTAGTTCTGTTGTCGCCACAAAGAACCAGGCTGAAGTTGCATGTTGTGCAGGCGCTTTGTTCAAGCCAAAAGTTTTCATGGTAGCGGAGCACTGCACATGTCTCTGAGACCGTGGGCGTTCTAGAAAGTTGAGTTTCTGCTGTGAGAGCATAAATTTGTGTTGCAGAAACCAGGGAACCCTGGCTCAGTTCGGGATTTGTGCAGTAGGCTTGATGTTAAGGTTGTTTGAACAAGTTAAGTGACTTGAGCAATGTTAGTTCCTGCTGTGAACACACGTGTGTGTGTTGCAGAGGGCAGGGAGAAAGTTGAGTTGCTGCCGTGAGAACACACGTGTGTGTTGGAGAAAGCAGGGAGCCCTGGCTCAGCTCGGCATTTGTGTGGCAGACACTTGATGTTAAGCTGTATAGTGGAGTTGCTGCTGTTGCAAAATACACAAACCCCTTTGTGTTGCAGAATCTTGATGATAATGTTGTGTGAAAAGGTTGAGTTGCTGCCGTCAGAACACA